TCCAGTCTGGTCCATGTGGACTGAACTGCGAATTTGTTGAGTTCATGGACTCGGTCCTGACTGGACTTAAATTTGACGCTATTTTTGTATTGGGGACTGGACTAGACTACTTTTCTAGCGTCCATGGACTTGATCGGATTAAAACAGCTGTTTTTCATGGATTCGGACTGGATTGTCCATAGTATGTGCTGAGAGGGATTTTCAAACACAACAAAAAAGAACATCATCAAAAAATGAAAAGAAAAGAAGAAAACGTTGGACTTAGAGAAAGAAAAAGAGAAAATAAAATGAGAGCAATAAAAATAGAAGCAGGAAACTGTGTCAGTAGGAGAAAAGCACCTGATGTTGGCATTTTAGAATGAGGGAGTGGATCAGTTAAATCTATAAAAGTAAAAAAGTAGAAGACGTAGTCTATTAGAAACGTTTAGCGGCGACAATAAAATCACCCGCAGATATCAAGAGATTGTGGGATAAATGTGTTCTAAGTAGAAGGGAGTCAGTATCAAGACTAAGCTCTGGTTGCTACTTTCATGTGAAAGAACTTCTTGAAATTACTACGATGAATTGGGGGATGGAAGTTTAAAGCTATAAAACTCAGGATATTCTTCAACTGACTTATCTACTGTTAGAATCCCTCTAATAATATGCTTCTCTGTTTTGGACGTAGTGTGCACCTACACATAAATAAATACCTAATAATTATATGCAAATATCTTCACTAAAAGCTCGTTGTTAAATATCTATTCTCGCGAAAGTTTTTTTCACAGTTAGCTTAAGATAACTGAATATCAATCACGATGAGTCTGATGGCAATATTTGTTGTTACAAACGAGTAAAAGAGTTGCTAAAAACTGAATTTTACGGAAACTACAGTTTTCAAGCTGTTTCCACGTAATTTATACTTTAAAGTACATTTTTCCTTCGATCTTTGAACTCCGCTATCTATTTCCAAGAACTGAAGCCATAGATTATCTAGCTCTCTTCGTTCATATATTATTAAAAAAACTTTAGTGGTTATTTAATTTTGAAACACGTAATAGTTGCGAATACTTTTTTGTGCTTGAGCAAGGTAAAGTGATTAACGCAGTCATATAATAATTACTTTTGTTTTGCAAAAAACTTGCTGACATGAAAAGTGTATTTCATACAGTTTCTCGACCTTTTTCTTATTGTATTATTTATATACATTCATTGTTAGATACTAAACGGTTTGGAAGATATTAATATATTATGTGTACTGTATATAATTATACATAATCAAATTTGTAAAAACGAAGTGTAAAAACAACTGAAAAGTTCTTTTGCCTATTAAATGTAGAAGATTTATCTTCCGAATTTAAATTTTCGCTACATTTTCTCACTGTTTTTCGACCAAATCAGTATAAGTCGACATTCAAACGTCTAATGGCAACCGAGTCATAGGCTTTTTAACATTATGAATATAAATTCAGTCGCGTTAATGCGTTTTCGAACTGTATCGTATTTTCAATGCCACTGTATGATACAATATCATAAAAAGTTAGTCAGCAGCTTATTTTATGGAGAATTGAACGGGTTATCTAATGATATGGTCTCAAGGCTGCGACATGTAGTATAACTTTTCTCCATCGAAATATATAGAATTCGACGCACTCTTTCATTTGACATCAACTTCAAGGTTCTATGGTAGAGAATGTGGCCAGCAGACGTTCTACAACTTAGGCCAAATCCGCCGGAAAATGATGAAAATGCATTTTTCTGCTCCGATGGTAAAACGGCTATAGCTTCTTTACTAACAAGGCTGGAGACTTGCGGTTATCACCACTATCAGCTTGCTGAGCTCTAGAATATCGTCACTGACATGAATGGCCGATGTAAATGGTAAACGATTTTATATGGACTTAGCGTATTCAGCGATGCCGAAAACATCCCTCTCCAGTAGTATTTCTAGCGTTAGGACACCGAGGTCCCATTTTTGTCTCCATATTATATATATCTTTTTGTAGCCCCCGAAATTCTCTATCGAACGATATATAAAGTGGAGTGGTTAACGAAGTTTTCGTCGTGAAGTTCTGTATCGAATGATATACAGCAGTTGAGGTTTTCTTTGGGCACAGGCAAGAAATGAGGAAAATACTCTAAATAAAGTTCAATTAAGGGGAGAAAGGTTTGGATGCGGAATTTTTTCCAGGGAGGGTAAAAATGTTTTTTTTGAGGTGCTAGCTTTCGTCACGGAGAAAAACTACATCAGACTTGTGAATTTGAGCTTGATCTGATAGGAGGCCGATTCTGGAGGCCGAGACATCTCATGTTTTAAAAACGTTTGCTTTGCAATTCTAGATGTTCCACCGCACAACATGTGCTTTCGTTAAAAATGTAGCCAAATTGCGTCACGGAATTTCACTCCAGTAGCAGAGTTATCTGGCCGTGTCATACAATTGTCGAAAGAAACATTATTGTTTCGAAATTTTTCATCTAATTAGCTAAGAGTTAGAAGTATGAACTAAAAACAATATCCAATGTATTACAGATATGATTAATACTTAGGTCATACCAAAAGTAGTGAGCCAAATACCTTATTTTCGTATAGAAGGCTTAAGGCAATTTTCTTTCTATATAGTCTAATAGAGAAAAGAATGCTCTATTTTTCTATGCTATTTGATCATAGTTCGACTAATATTATAATAATAAAGTTTGGATAAAAAGTTCTATTTTAGTCCCACCCCCAGCTCGTTTGGGCCTATTTCTTGACCATGATGTTTACGTTCATTCAAAACAGAAAATCTGCGTCAGCCATTTGAAATCAGCTCACTTAGATGTGGATACAACAATCGATACCAGTCAATTAGAGCCAGCGAAGTTTTCCAGTCAAGAAGCTAGTCAATTGATTTTGGATTTAAAAAATGAAGTCAAAAAGAAGCGTAATCAATCTCTTCTCTCTTTTGACAATCATCTTATGGAAGAAGAAGACTTCAAGACTTTTACTGGTTGAGGAAAAACGGAGTTAGAGACAATGCTGAAAGTTATTTTGGACTCGAATTCAATGCGAGGAAGCAAACATAGATCAATTGCTGACGCATTACTCATGTTTTGGGTTAAGTTAAAAACAAATCTAACTTACAATCAGATTGGAATTCTTTTTAATTACGACACGAGTTCCGAAGATCGTCGAAAACGTGTTTCTGACTCGTGCGATGCCGTAATGGATTGTTTACTAAAACATTTTGTACCAAATTTTTTAGGACTAAATCGTGTAACTTATCAACAAGCACTTGCACATGACACTATTTATTCGAAAACATTCTTTGGGAATGGATTTAAATTCACATGGGATGCTACTTATTTTTTTGTGAATAAAAGTAGTGATCACGTTCTGCAAAAGAAAACTTACAGCGGACAAAAAAAACGCCATTATGTTAAGATGATGTCTGTTACATTGTCGGACGGTTATGTACTCGATACGTCTGGACCATATCCAGGCTCAAAAAATGATGCACAAATCGCTGAACACATAACCAAAGTTAATGAACATTTAGCCAAATGCTGCGGAAATGATGCAGTTGCAATTGTAGACCGGGGTTTCGATCGTGTAAGAACGGTTTTTGAAGACTTAGGTTTGATAGTTTAAATGCCAGCATTCTTGACATCAAAACAGCATTCATGGGAAGAAGCAAATCAATCTCGACTAATTACAAAGATGAGACGTGCAGTCGAAATGTATCATGGTCGATTGAAAAAGTTTTTATTGTTTTATCAAACTATTCCAAATTCGCTCTTTGAAAAAATTGCTCCGTGTGTAAAAATTGCATCCGCAGCTCTCAATTGTTTTAGACCTCCACTCATCTCAAGTGTCGATCCAAAGAAAGAAGAACGTTTAGCAAAAATTATGAAAATTAGAGCGGACGCAGAGAATGAACTGAAAGAACGAGTTTTGGAAAACTAAACTTGACTCGGTTTTCATAAAACCGAGTCATTAATGTATATTCATCATCATCATCGTCGTCCTCATCAGACGAATCGTCACTTTCTGAAGTACTTTCTTCTTCGTCATCATCACCCAGTTTATATTCGATCCAACAGTACACATGTAGGGGTGGCACTTTCCCGTTCCTTTCCTGAGTAACGATAAAGTGGTATCCTTTTATTTCAAAAGTAAAGAGTAAAGATATAATGCATATCTATTCTTTCGTAAGAAAAAAGAACGTGGCATCCTTTCTTTTCCAAAAAAAAGAAAACCGATATCTTTTCTTTTTACAAGAAAAACACTTCTTTTTGCACCTTTTAAGAATGGATCGCACAACCTAAGTTTATCTTACTTAGTGCTAAAACACAAATACTGAACTATCAAGGTCACTTTTTTAGATTTTCTATGTGATGGGAATGATTACTATATTATGCCCTTTCGAAATGGTACTGGTTTTACCTTTTGCAGCGGTAATTATGGATACAATCTGCCGTGTCAAAATGGTTCACGCTATGATCCACTGATAGGCTGTGCGGGAGCAAATACAGCTGCATGTTCATCAAATCCATGTTTGAATGGAGGACGATGTATTCAAATCGAAAACGAATACAAGTGTCTATGTCCAGCATATTTTGAAGGCGAACACTGGTAAGCTGTTTTATAGTTAACGCATAGCACGCTGACATTGGCACAAAGTTTGTGTTTCAATGAAGAGGATCAACGCAATTGTTTCCGGCATCCTTTTTGCAGAACTAACTGGTGTACTGGTTATTTACTAGTATTTGCTCTGGAATATACGTGTGTTTTTTTGTGATCACAATACAAGAATGTGTAATATAAATTTGATACGAGGTAGTGTTAATTCTGTTGATAATATCTTTTCTGTAATCACTTGTTATTCATATCATTTGTACTACTGAAGAAGGAGTCGTTTTAGACTTCGAAACGTTTAGCAGTTGTAAATAAATTTATAAGATAAAAGAAAATTCTACGAGAAAAACGAAATTAAATTTAAATGTGATTTCCTTATCATATTATCAACAGAATACGTGTGTTTGTAGAAGATCTTCTGATGTCGATGTTGGCTACGGTCTGAATTGTATATCGATACCATCCAATACCATCCGAGACCAATACCTTGGACACAGAGAGAAATTAACCGATGTTCTGTAATGGAGATGCAGTTATGAATTTCCAGAATTTATGAAGTTACGCATTTATGGATTTTATGAATTTATCACAAAGGGCGCGAAATTTACCAAAATATTCCGGTGAAAAAGCACTATAGCATGCCGGGAGATGTCTTAGTTTGCTCAAAATTCTTCGCTCTATAAGACTATATGGCTTCCAAAATTTTCTGACCAAAGACTAAGGACTTGATTTTCCAGCAGTCAGGTTTTCCAGAAGCTGTATTATCAACTTTTCTCATAGAAGGGCGATATGCTCCTCATCAGATAGAAAAATCTGCGGGCTATTCAAAACATTATTCAGATTGGTTCTTTTACTTTTTTTTAGCTTTTATTAAAAAAATCAAAAACAAGGGAGTTCTTGTGATTATGACACACTGTACTGCTTAGATAACACCCAAAAGCTTCTTTTCCATATCTTTAATGACGAACCCCACTTGTCTGGATACTGTGTACGAAAAAGTGCTTTGGTGAGAGAGAAAAATGTGAAATACGCGAAAACCCATTGGGATTTTGGAAAATCCATAAAACCTCCTTGGAAAATATGCGAGATTTTGCGATTTCACCATAAATAGACTACTTGTACAGGAACATTTTGATGTATTCAGAAGGTCTATAGGGGTTTAGCGCTATTTAGCGATACCACTACACAGAAGTAGTGGCATACCGGTATGAGATGATGAAGAATCATTAACTGTTACTTATTGCAATTACTTTCGAAGTACAAACATACAAAGATTATTACGCAGTGATATATACGACGTTTCTACCTAATGAAAGAAACCTTACCGTCGGCTTTCGCTAATAATGAAGCGAAGACAATCAAGACAAGCATTTGTAGAGAATAAATTTGCACCTGACTGCTGGATGCAGAGATGCAACTGAAGTAAAAACGAAATACTCTCTTTTCGTGAAAGTATCTACTGGTATATTTATTTCAACGTAGAGAGTGATTACAAAGACCTGGAGTAGGTAGATCCAAAGTTGATTCAGAAGAATATACCTAAAAAGTGATTTTTAAAATAAAACATGGGTTATTCAGCCAAAGCTCGCCTGGAAGGCTTTCTAGAAATCCTCTAAAGATCTTGAGAGTATGTCTGTTGGATTGGGCATCGATTTTAACTTATATGAATATACTTTGACTATATTGGGGAAGAACAGAAAAAAATAACTAAAAATCACCTGGCCT